GGAGCCCGCCAATTTGTTCCTCTTTGTCGTCGCGGTTTTAATTAGTGTTCGCACAAAAGAACCGCCCTTTCTTTCTTTCTTTCTTTTTTTTCTCTCTCTTTCTCTCTCTCTTTCTCCGTTCCCCTCCCTTTTCTTCACCCGGCCAAGAGTGTGTCGTCCGTCAAATTGATCTACCGGTTTTTCGTGGCGGAAACGTTGTCTGAGTTTGGTTTTTAGTTTCGAAATTACGATTATAAGAAAATCCGAAGAGAATCGGAAGGAATTGGAAGAGATTTCCATTCCAAGCGAAATTAGAGATCGGTGAGATTTATTTATTCGCGGGGAAGAAATAGGAGAAGAGATGGTTCAAAGATTGCTCGATGACATTTGAAGGTCGTTTAAATATCACCTCGAGGTCGTTCCAAGTTATTTCGAGGTTGTTACAAAGTTATTTCAGAATCTTGAAAATATAATTCCAAAGTTATATTCCGATTCGGTGGTTTTCAAATTTTTCTTTTTTTCGTAACAGTTGCATCCTCCTAAATAAACGCATATATAAATTCAAGCCAAGAAATCATATTCTTGGCTTTTAGACCGTGCTTTCATCGCATATAATTTACGAAACTGTCTACTGGAAATATCGTTACGCCCTGATTTTATTTGAACCGTGGTGAAAATTCTGCATGGTGTTGCGTCGTCCGCGGGAACCGTTTCCAATTCGCACGTACCAGACGGTTGCTGATTCTGCAACTTAATAAAGTGGTACTACATCGTATTAGTTGGAGACCCTCTGTGTACCCTCCAACCGCAAACCACGCGACTCGCTGCGATTTCGGATTGTCTCGGTGCGTTCATATCATAACTCGCCTCGTACATCCTCGTATTTACCGAGTTTCTCGTTGCTTCCTTTTCTTTTCTTTTCTTTTTTTTTTTTTTTTTCATCCCATCGCGATGATATTGTTGCTGCAACTTTGTACGCATCTTTTTTGCAACTTTATTCTCGTGGAAATCCACCGACTTCGTATAATAAAAGCGTAAAATTAAGTGTATTCAAGCGATTTTTACATTTCACGTCGCGATAACAGATCGTGATTATCGCAGGTAGCGCGATGAAACTTGTGAAATTTTTCGCGTGGAAAAATGAGGAGAGAGGATACTAAAAATTTCATAGGTCGAAACCTGCTCGGAGCGCGGGAGAAAGCCGTGTGCCATTGAAATCGTTTTTTTTTTTTCTTTTTTTTTTTTTTTTTTTTTTCTTTTTTTTTTTTTTTCTTTTTTTTGGTTCATCTCGATATCTCGATTCGTTGCCGAGATATAAAGGCTTCAATGTTTCCGCAGCGCTTAAGAGAGCGAACGGCGGGTAGTTATGAATGGGCTCGTGACCTAGATATTTTTCCTGGGAACGCGTACTACGTCTTTCCAGGAATCGCGTCTGTCGCTTGTCTGGAATTTGGGGTAGGTCGGTGAGACGAGGTGCGAGCGAGAGGTCCGAGTAAGCGATCAAAAATTACTCTTTTCTTTGCGCGACGATAATCGGGAAACCGGAAGTCGTATCGAGATAATTCGAAAAGCGTTTTAAAGAGTAAGGTTTCGCGCTTCTAACGGTCTCTCATTTGTTGACCGAAAGTTATTATTTTCGAAGTTATAGCGGTTTAAAGTTTTCCTAATTTTGATACGATTTAATCGATTTTTCTAATAAGTATGTTTTTTTTATTCTTCGATATCTTTTTTTAAGGGAACACTATTTCAATTTTTGGCCACCTTTAACCGAACATTTTCTCATTTATATCATTTGTACATGATATAAATTAAAAATAAAATCTACGTGGTGTGAAAAACTGGTGCTCTCACAAGAATCCAATTATTATTACATGGTTCTCTACCTATGCGAACCGCGTTGTAACTTTCAAGTGTTAGAATTAATAACAAGAATCACGAGAGATCAGGAACGAAATAACGAAGTAGCCGTTTAAATTAAAACTTCTAAATTAAAATCCTTCTAAAATCCAAGAGATTCTCAAAGCTCTGGAAGTTCCAGAAACAATAAGGACCCTATCGCCGGCATTAAAGTTCTATTTCCACCAAAGCTATTCTATTTCGAGCGACGATGAAATAATCCTCCATCCCCGAAACTATGCTACACTATGTATACACACAATCTGTATATTATCTTGCTTGTCCGACACCGGTTCCGCTTCTCTGTGTTTCGAACAGAACAAAATTCGTTTGTTCTTTTTCTTCTCTTTTTCATTTTTTTCCCCCTCACCACTTCTTTCTCAATCAAGGCGTTAAAAAAAACGCGGCCGTATCAACTGCTTTGCGCCGAAATGATTTAACCCGCCACGGGGAACCGCCACGTCTGTGGTGTCTCTCGTTGAAAGTTGGTGTAATTTCGTTGGACTCGTGCCGCCGGATCGAATAAGTTTCGGATGGCTCGCGTCGATACTATTTGTATCCATTGGTTGGAAGTTGCGTCTAACGTCGAACACGCTCGACCGCCCCACGATCGTTCCCTGCAAATTGCTGAAGCGTGCACCGAAGGCGGCGTGTCGCGGCATAATTCGGCCGCGACCCTCTAATGGATTTTGGCGCGCGACCAACCAACGATCGGAAAACTCGGTTACCTGCCTCGCGATCTTTCGCTTGCGTTAAACCGATATATCTTCCTTCCCCTCGCGTGTTCGAGAAGATATCGTAGGAGAATGATTTAAGTGAAACGACGTATAATTATCTCGTGTTCTCGAGTCAAATGTTCTTCTTCTATTCGAGATATTTTTATGCATGTCCTCTCGCATTGGACATTTTGAGTTTGATCTTTATAAATAGAAGCCGTGGATCGTCCGACAGGTAAAAAGAAATAGAATATTCTTATGACTTAAGAAAAGTAAAAAGAAAGAAGTTTCGAAAGAAGTAGAATTTGAATTTTCTAATTGAATATGAACGAAGGGGAAGTTTTACGCGCGGCATTACGAAGGGATTAAACAAGTTATGCGTTTCTTTTTTCGATCTGTATCACCGCCGAAGCTGAGACGTTCCTCTCCTCGTGTTGACGATCCCTTTATGCGAAAAGTTTGGCACCGAGTCCCGGGGAAAAGTTTTTCTGGATATCGTTGCAACAGGAATGCATTTCCTGCTCGGCAGATACGTTACGTCGTGGTAGTGACAGAAATCGAGGAGGGAGAGGCGCGGTTATATTGAAAACGGAAAACGCTACACGAGTTATGAAATATCGAGAGTTTCTCCAGGCATACGGGGATTCGTTTTATATAGCTCGACTGTTCGTGAAAATCGTATAGACTTTCATTCGCGTGTTACATTTTGGATAAAGGATGGATCTTCCTTTTTCATTCATGTGAAATTTTTATTCTATTTTTTCTTCATTACTTATTCACTTATTGATAGATTTTTGTTTTGTTTAATTTCACGTGTTTTCTTTTTTTTTTTTTTAATTTTTCTTTGCATTTCAATTACGATCCAAAGGAATTTTTAGAAACGAAAAAAAATAAGGGGAAAATCATTCTCCCATTCATTCTTCTCCTCGGTTAATTTCATTACGACTTTCGTCTCTCGAACCATTTTTTCTCCACCCCGGCGGAGAGGAGAAAGAAAGAAAAAAGCTTGATTACTCCCCGTGGGATGCATAATTTTAATTTATCCACGTTTCGGCTACTTTTAATCATGGAAGATTCGGAAAACAGTGGAAACAACTATTTTGTTCGCTCGTATTCGCTGAAATTCGCGTGAAAATTAAGAAATTTCAACATTCATCGGAGAAACTTTGGCTTGCATTCCCTTAACGTCGATTTACACGGTCCTTTCGTTACGAACGTTGTCTCCTAATCTGTTTTATCCCCTGTGTTCCGCGTATTTTGCGAGTCTGTAAACATTCCTCCTCCGAATTTACGCGAGCGCTCTGCCCAACTCTCGCGAATAATTTTCGTGGGCTCATTTTTCGGGCTCGCTGTTGCTTCGTCGTTGCTCTTTCGTTGCGCTGCAAATCTGCAAATGGAACTATTTTTTTTTTTTTTGGTCGCCTCTGCAATTAGTAAGAATCGTAGGAATTTTTTTGAAACGATTGGACTTTTTCGATTTTGCAGAAGAAAGAAATTCGAAGAACGATTACAGCGATGAATGGAAAGAATCTGTTACGATGAACAGTGATTGAATTCATAAAAGATTAGAGCATTAAGAAAGCTCGATAAAATTTGAAGCACGAATCTTTAAAAGCTTCTAGTTCTAGAAGTACGAAATTTGATTCACGAAATGTTGAGATTTGTTTCTCATTGTGAATGACCGAAGATTTATGATATATGAAGCGAGTGACGCTTTAATTTTTCCAAAACCGAGGTCATCAAATTGAAACGATTTAAAAAAGAAAACTGTCAAAAATAGATCTGCTATAAATGATTCACGGCTATAAATAAAAAATTGCAAACGAAATGTCTCGATATTTGGTACCGAAGTTATTCATCATGAGTCACTTAAATAGACCAGTAGTCAGCCGCCAATATACATACATCACGTGGCCGAATTCACTGGAAATTAACCGATCTTAAAATACCCGTCACCGTGGCCGGTAAAGTCCATAAAACTCGGAGCAGGAATTAGCAGAAGAACCGGTAAACCAAACGATATTTACACGAGCTTCCACCGTCAATCAACTCTGATCCCGTTTCCCGGGAAATGCATTAAATCGTGCCTCTCTTTCGAGTTTACGGAAATTTCCTTGGATCTCGATATCGGTATGATAATGGTTATCGTTCTTCGTGGTTGTGTTATCATTGATCCGCGGCTTGCCAGGGCTCGTGGTCAGAGTCCTACATACCCAGATCCCAGGGAAAGGGAGGTTGGCGAATTCTGTATCTCGTCGTTGCGTTCAAGTGGATGGACAGATAAACAGAAGAAGAGGATGACAGAGGTGAAAAGGTTGGAGAGGATGATGGCAGGGGAGGAAGAGTATTTCTACCTCTCTCCGTCTCTCTATCTCTAGTTTCTCCTCGTTCGTTTTCATTCGTTCGTTCGTTCGTTTTCCTGCTGAGATATATGACGAGACGCGAACACATTCAGCGACTACTAGCTTCGTCTAGTTCGTATTCTTTCATTCTTTCTTCCTTTTTTCTCGGATGATACGAATAATTACGCGTCGGTAGGAAAAATGAGGGTGAAAAGAAAACACGGAGGGTGAAAACCTTGGACGCGGATCGCGGTATCAATGAGACGGAATTAATGATCGAAAAAACAAGTCGAAAGAGTGAAAAAACTAGAGAGAGAAAGAGAGAAAGATATGGAAGAGAAAGGTGTTTCTCCAATCTGACGGTATCCGTCGGTGGTGCGTTTTTGATATACAAACGCGGTATCCGTTTCTTTATCGCGCTTTTTGCACCGCTCTTTCAACAAGCCTGATCCTCTTTCTCTCCACCACCATCACCCATCGTCCCTCTCGAGTGGGTTTCGAGCCGAAAGAGAAGAAGCGTATCGTCGGCTTAGCGGCTAGAAAAAACAGGCGCGAGGATCGGCAACGCTTTCGTCGTCTCGTCATTGTCGCGAGCGTTGACAGGAGGGTGAGGAAGGGGAAGGGGAGGGAGCATCGTAGCCTCTCGAAGGAAGAGAGCGGACAGCTCTATGACGAACAGAGACAGAGAAAGAGAGAGAGAGAGCTCCAGGTGGACGAGCACGAGCGGAGGGATGGGAGGGAATGGCAGGGCCGAAGCGACGTTCCCGAGGGAAGCGAGGAGAGGAGACGAGGACGAGTAGAAGGGGTGAGGGAGAGCGTTGGGAGAGGTGGTGAGGAAAGAGAAAGAGAGAGAGAGAGAGAGAGTGGAAGGCGAGGCGCAGGCGTGCGGCTGGTCGCGGCTCGAATCCCGCCGTATTCCAAAGAGGAACACGCCACTCCGCCCCCGGCACGGCAGCCACGCGTCAGTCTCACCCGACTGACCTCCTGTCCCTAACTTCCCTCTTCGATTCCTGACCCGCGCACATTGAACTCACGCGGTTCGCACCGGCCGAAGACGTCGCGCGGCCCGTTCAGTCGCCCTCCGACCGGAAGTGCTGCTGCTTCGAACCATGCTGCCACGTACCCCGACACGGCCTAAACCCGGATACATCCAAGCCAGGAGCTCGGTAATGGAGGAGGTTCGGCGTTACGCGAACGGTGCTCGACGATCCTCCAGGTGCTAGATCCTCTTTCCTTCCGTTTTCGTCCACGTTCTCGATCGATCACGGAATCCATTGGGGGAAAAACGTCGACATGGGGACGAATATCGAGAGGAGGATGGAGAGGCGCGAAAGATGGTCTCGCGATGAGAATTCGAGGAAACGTGGAGGGCAACGTGGAATAGTGGTGGAGTAGGATCCGTTGGAAGGCAAAGAAGAGGGAGGAAGAGGAAGCAGAGGAGGAAAGTGTGAAAGTTCTCCTTCCCTGGTTCTGTTACGCGATTCGGTTGTTTTTCCGCGTGGTGTGATGACGGGTGGTGGCTGGTGTTGAGTGCGCGCGTCCGCGGCCGATAGTTTCGACGAGAAAGTAAACAGTGAGAGAAGGAAAATTATTAGTTGATCGCGATTTAACCGAGATCGCCTCGGTATTTCGATCGAAGTGGTGGTTCTTCGGGGTGGTGGTGTTTTCGCACGATCGAGCCACGTGTTACACGCGGACAAATTCGAACTCGACGATCGACACGATTTTTTTTTAAGTTAGTCGACATTGTTCGACCACTGTAGAAAGGATTAGAGAAGAATTGCGAAAAACGAGTTGTTGACCGATAGAGAAAAGAATTCGTTCCCCTCTCCCTGCCCGAGTTTCGAAATATAAAATATATCCCGAAATCATCGTAGATCGAGATTCTATTATTAAAGTCATTATTACTAGAGGAATTTAGCGATCGTTGTCGTTATATAGTGAAAATTTATTGTACGAGAATCTTCGATATTACATAGATATATCTATATATAATATATTTGAGAGATTTATACCGTTGTTTGTACGGTCGGTGTAAAGTCGGTCGAGAGAGAAAGAGAGAAAGATATATTGTTATACGGAAGAGAAAGAAAAAAAAGGAGAGGAGGAATATTTCGCGAGGTGGAAGAATCGAGATACCTGCGTGTCGGAACACGATCCAGCTAACGAGCGAGCACTCTAAATACAATAATAATGGTCGTGAGTTCGCACTTTAATTCGAGCAACAATCGACGAGTAATTAATAACGATCGATTCACGCGAGAATTCCGGGCGTCGAATTAACGTTCGTCCGCATACGATTAATCAAATGTTATTTCGAAATATTACACGATCTCTGGCGACGCGGGACAAAGCTTCATTGGCCTATCGACTGGTGCAACGAACGAACGTATATCGAGCCTAATAAATAACGAGTATCGCGCGAAAAGGGAGGCTGGGGGAGGAGGAGGAGGAGGAGGAGGAGGACGAGGAGGAGGAGGAAGAGGAGAGGAGAAAGAGGAGGAATATACTCGTCGTGGTGCACGCGAGTTCGATCGAAAGAAGGAACAGTGGATGAAAATGGAGATCGGTCGACGACCTTGCGACGCGAACGCGAGAGCGAACGCTTAAACCGTGGCAGACGACGAGCCCACCGGCGGAGATTATCGATTCGCTCACGCGTGGGCCAACATGTCGCGCGCGAAATGTGCACGAGCTGCGAGTTCGCGAATCGCTCGGGGACCTCGTTGGGAAACTCGAGGACGAGCAGCCTCTTGAAGACGCGTTAGATCGAAACGAAACCGAAAACGATATGCATCGATCCTGGAACGATACGATCCTGTTGAAAATTAATTAAGCGGCATTCGAAGCGCGCCTCGAGCACAACGAGATCGACAACGAGATATCAAGTATTTCCGAGCGGATAATCCGAGGATATATATATATATGTATATATATGCGCGCGTGTATGTATATATAATCTTGGCCGTAAGAAGAACACGACGATGATCGTGCAACTGGGCACCTAGTCGGTCGTGTCCGGACGCCGCTAAAAACCAAATGGGCGAGCCGAAACCCGCCTCGTCTCCGCANCCGTAGCCCGAGTCACAATGGTCACGGATTCCCATTGTACACCCCACCAGCCCCGATACCAGCATCCGGCGCAAATAAAGTTCGCTCTACTCCCAACGGTCTACCCCAGCCAACAGCACCGAGGCGTCCTCATAGTATTACCGCTCCATCATACCACCACGTCTCAAATGTCCACCACTCCCTTGGTCAACTCGGTGGTTGCAGAGCAAACGCAGCATCGTCATCAGCACTATCATCATCATCATCATCACCATCACCAGCAGCAGCACCACCACCAGCAACAGCAACAATCGTATCAACAAACGGCCCATCAGGATCATCATCAACAGCACAATCGTCATCATCACCGTGGGGTAACGTTGGGGGCGGTTCATCACCAGCCGGCTCAAGCTCAGCCG